ACTAAAATGTCACACTGACATAATCACGTTACAGCACCTGGTCACTGTAGGTTTATTTTGGAACTGACCAAGCAGCCTTATTATTATACTGTATCTATTAAGGCTATTGTCTACTAAATAACATGAAGAATAATAAATGCATCTTTGTTTGTTGTTTTTTTTTTAAAAAAAGGTTTAATTTCGTTTTCCCAGCAGCCTTGAAGATGTACAATGACTGTTTGCCAATTCAAAGACAACATTTACTCATCTGTCCTTTACTGCAAGCAGTTATTATCATAGAAATAGTTGGATATTCTTCAGCTGTTCCCCACTCCACTTTGCTTTTTAATTAGCACTGTTTCCAGGAAATTAAGTGGCTGGATTTGTCAATACTCTATACTTCTCATATGCTGTGATATTACACAGTGACATGATCAACAAACTTCTCTTTCTGGCCCTGGAATATTGTGCCCACGTCTGTCCTGTTTGCTTTCCATCCATGGTCCAATGAAAGAAATTTGAAAATGAGTAAGCCCATTTGTATCCTAGTCACATCCTTGGGCACAGATGAGGGATGCAACCTAATGACAAAGTTTAAATGAGATCATACATGACTCCCAATATCATGGTCAAAAGCTAAATAAAGTTAGCGTTTTTCTCAGACATCATCAGGCTAACAAAGTTCAGTTCCACTTACAAATGAATGCAGATGGCATGTTTGCTTTGTTATTCTCCTACCCTTTCACATCTGCTAAATAATCTCCCAGCTCTTCAAAGTCCTTTTAAATTGTGCCTAAGCTGTAATATGGTGAAAGCCAAGAGTATTTTACTAATTTGAACTGGTCTCTGCTTTAATCTCATAGCATTTTCAATCCTTCATTTAAAAAAAAAAAAAGAAAAAAAGAAGTGATTGCTATTTCTTTCTCTTCCCTTTGAGACTTTCAGTAGCCTTTGAGCTAGGAATAATAATTCTTTTTGAATAACAATGCACACAGGGACCATGAGGATTTATTGAGTACAACCTACTGTAGTCTATCCATCAAAGTGACACTTAGTCACTTACAAACTTCCTGTGCTTACTGTACTTAATGAACACTTCACAAGTTCCTGCAGTATTATTTTTGCCTAATGGGAAAGCCTCTCATGTGTTTCTTAGGGAGGCAGAGGAATTTCCCTAAACAGTAAAGAGATCTGCCTGAGCCCTTGGTAGTTACAGCACATGTTGACGTTTGATCAATGCTGTGCATGTCTCACCATTTCTCATTTGCTCCTCCCATAACACAGCACATACTTTAAGATGAACATTTTCATGGCTATTTTGCAATGGAATTTCATGAGCTGCTCCAGAGCCCCAAGTTTACTCAGTACCCCTGTGATTCTGACTCCCAATTTCCACTTGGCATCACAAGCACAACTCCTCTTTTGCATGAATTGCACATGACTGCAATGATTATTTCCCTTCTTTCTAGGGTGAGAAACTCAGAGTTTTCTCATGTCCAACCTTGTCTCTACCAACATCCTTACAAATATTTGGCAAGTAAAATTCTCCTTGGGGCCAGGCAACTAAAAGTAAGAAACTGCTTGTTTTCCCTTAAGCCGTTACTGCATATCCTTGAAGATGTCTCTCTTCCCTTCATCGTTCTTCAAGTTCTCCCATCCTTGTCTCCAACTTTCTTCTGAGTAAGTGCTTCTGTAATCACCTGTTCTCCTTCTTAGCTCTGTCATAAAGCAGAGGACAACTCTTTCACACTTCCTAACTGTTATGATGGCCACCTCTCATTTTCATTATTAGCAAGACAGCTGCCAGGACAAGTCAAAAATCCTCCTACCTACAAGTCCTGGTAGGCAACCAAAATGTCCATGCCACTTTTCCTCAAGATCAACATGCAAATGTGGCCTCTTTGGGACAGCATACCAGCTACAACAGTCCTTGTTCAAGTTTAAAACCTCTAGCAATCCTCTGTGAGAGCCACACTGTCCCTACTCCAGCAGGAGACAGGGACCCTGGAAAAAACATTGACATTGGCATAATTTGGAAACAAACTTCAAAGAGAAGTTCCCACTTCATCTGAAAAAGTATGTGAATCCCTACTATACATCCCCAAACACACAGACAAGGATGATCATGAGAGAGTTACTGGCACTGCTGCTTAGCCCCAGAGGTAGACAGGCTCCTTTACCCACACCACCATCCTGCAAGCTCAAGACAAACCCAAATCACTTGCCACAGTCAAAATACCATTCTCCCAAGGAAGTAAAAAATTAAGCTTCTTGAATTGGAAAAGCTCAGTTCTTTTCCAAGTTTTCAGCAAATCACAACAATTTTTCTGCCTATTTAATACGACAAAGACTTGAGCAACACAAGTTGCCTGAAAAAAATGGCTGTATGGTCCTTAGTAATTGACTCTTGCTGAAGATGTCTCAGCAGCTTCTGTCTGTTCAGTGCAGAGCATAGGCTATAACAAAGGAGTCCTAGTGAACAGCCTAATTACTGCTCATATTTCTCTGGCATCCATACAAGTAGAACAGCTGCAACAGGGATGCTTCTCCCTACAGCTTCTGTTTTAAAACAGGCAGATGTGATTTGACCCTCTCTGCTAAGTGTCTCTTACTACACCACCAAAACAAAGAAGAGTACAAGATGCCACCATTAGCAACCTTCTCTGAATGGCATCTCTCTCCTAAGATGTTCTCTTTTTAATACAGACTCTTGTATTTGGTGAAGCTAACTCAAGTTTGTGCCTAGCTTCTAGACAATTGAACTGGTGTTTCCTACTTAAAATGCACCACAAAATAATTTGTCTGAGCATCTTCCAGATCCTTTCCAAAGCCAAAAAACTGGGAGGTAGCACCTTTGTCTGCAGAGAAAGATGTGGGCCACTCCAATCACACAAAATACACCAGCTAGAATAAGAATGCCCATGTTCTGAAAATATTTGTATGTAGGTCAGGGAGTCTTTAAAAGTGCATTGGAACAATATTAATGTCACTGACCTGTCTGATCACAAGTGCAGCCACTGCCTCAAACCATCTCAGAATTGTTCCTTTTGAGAGCAAGTACCTGCTGCCCTTCGAAACCTCCCTTTATCTGCAGAGGGATGGGGCGAGAAATTATTTATTAGCAGATGTTCAGCTATATTTACTGCTTTTAATAAGAAAGAAAACTTTAAAAAGGGCACTTGGTTTCCACTTAATGACCCCTGAAGATTTATAATTGGAGATATGTGGCACCAGAGCTATGGGCAAATTTGCATTGCTGCTGTTCAGCTGGGTTTTGCCTCAAGTTAACTCATGCTTCATGTTCTGGTGCAGCTAATCTGTTTTTCCATAAGCACAAAATACTTGCTTTCCTTGGGGAAAAGACAAAAGGCAAAAAACAACAAAAAAGCCCCATGTGCACAGAGACAGCACAGATTACTTGTAACTGCCATAATTTATGGGCTAAAAGAATCCTCTTATCTCACCTGCAAAGTGGATTTAAAAAATGAGGGCAGGGAGAGAAATTACTTGCTGAAAGGAAGCTTTGGAGGACATTACAAGGGTCCAAATATGGATTTATGTGGCCTCCATGCAGCACTGATCTTACGTGCACCTTGGCTTAGACAGATACGGAAAAGCAACTGGAGTGGATACAAGTTCATCACCAACATACATTCAGTCAGGACATCTCTGTTACATGTTTACTCACTGCTCAGTAAAATGGTAACTTCTCTCCATATTAGGGTCCTAAATGTACAGTGAAATGGCTAGGAAATTATTTCTATAAATATTTGGGGCAGGGAGGTGTACGTGTATCTATTCCCAAGTATACTACATCTCTGTTAGCAGAAATCATGCTGCAAAGCAGAAGGCCTGTTTCTCCATTCCTAGCACTGTCAGTCACTTGCTTCTGAGCAAAATGAGTGGCATGAGTGAGTTAATATTGGCTGAGAGTTAAACTCATTCTTGAGGGCATAAACTTACCTGCATCAATGTAAATATATCAGTTCGGTGGCACTGCTAATGGTGCAGACCTACAAAATGAGCTATGTTGATTGATGCACACTTTCTTCTGTAAAGAAGATACCACACAAGAGCAAAACTACATCACAGCCATTATCTAAAGAATTTCTGCTAGCAAAATAAGTACTTGCTTACACACATGCATGTGTATAAGGTCTGCAGCACAACAGAACTATTTTACCTCCGAGTATTCCCAGAAGGGTTAAGCTAAACAACCTTTGCACATGGACAAGCCCTAAATAAGGAACAACTCTTCAGGAAGATGCCAGGCTACAATATCGGCATGCAATTAAGGAAGGTGGCAATCCTGCTCATCTAACTGTGCAATCAGGATGATGTCACTTTCTATTTCCACTTTGTACAATACTTCGAGATCCTCAGGTGAAAGCTCTGTACCAGCGTGAAGCATTTCTACCTTCATCAGTGAAGCAGATAGCATGTAGTACACTTGTTTGTGGTACACATTGTGAACGCCGTAGTCATCACAGTTACAATTAGTTAAGAGTCATCTCCTGCTCTGCTGCAAGCTCTGCAGTTTGACAGCGTTTGGTAAGGACTAGCGTTTCCATAGAAGCAATTGTGTCTTGGTGACATATCCTTATGCTGCTTCCATCACTGCCACAGCTGTGTAACTACATTTTACGAGTATTGTGCATATATGGTTGAAACAACACAACAAAGCTATACATCAACTAATGAAGACTATAGGAGACTTTGAGAGACCATCTTGTCCCATTGCTCTGCACTAAGCAGGGTCAAGTACTCACAAGCATTTCCCAACCAGTTAGTCTTAATCTTTTTTAAAGACTTTCAGTGACAGAAGCCCACGTCTTCCTCAAGAAGTGCTATTTTGTACTAAATATGAGTTTTTTCTAATATCCAACCTTGATTTCCCTTGGTGAAATATATGCCCGTTATTTCTGGTCTTCTTTCATAAAGAATTTTTTCCATCCATGGCCCTTACTTTTTGCAGCTGTCTTTGTAAACTTGAAGGTTATTGTATCAGGTACATGGTATCCTTTTTCATTTCCCCAAGAAAGACGCAAAGCACTACGTATCTCTGAGTTTCCTCTATCTTTCTGCTGCAAGCCCATGGCTGAATAAAAGGAACACTGGAAAAGACAAATAAGTAAAAAATAAAAATCAGGCACAGGACCTATCTTTCAAAGTAATTGCTGTTCAGCAGACCAAGGCTAGAATACAAACATAAATGTGTTCTAATTATAGAATCAGCCCCTGAATTGTGTTTTGGGTTATTCACATGAATGGGAATTATGTGCTTCTGCCTTTGCCAAAGGGAACAAAGCACCTTGAACCACACATGGATATATCTAGCTGAATAAGAGTAAATATATTACTGATACTGACCGTGTGACAATGCACAAATGAGCATGAAAAGAAGATTCGAAACAAATTTTAGCAACTCTCATAAACATCATCACATGCAAGAATGAGGGTCAGCTGCACTTGCCTCACAGCACAGGAATCCTTTTGCACCTTACAACACGCGTGCCCTGTAATTAATGTCTAAATTATGGAGATCTTCTACATTTAAGTAGTTCTTAGAAAATAAGTCATTTACTTACAGGAATGTTCTCTGTATTTGTAATTCAAGTTCTCCACTTGGAATTATTAGTTTTGTCCTGGAAGAAAAGAAGCCATATCTAAGACAAAAGAAAAGTGGCATGACTTGGCTCCACTCCATGTTTTACTGGATAATAATTCCTATAGAGGAAATTAATTGCTAGGCTGAATCAGGCAATAAGTGTGTTATGCATATATCTTGCCTCTGGCAGGTACCAACAACAGGTGCCGCAAATCCTCATGGAGTTACACAGTAGTGCTCCTATAGAGGATGTTTTTTTCCAAAACCAAGGCACTTAAGATTCATTAACATCTTGAAGCAGAAGGGCTCGGATCTTCTTTATTTTACTTTATCCCAGGTGAATGTCTGTAGTGCAACTACAGGGGTGGAATCCTCCCCAGTCAAACCCAGTACCTCAATAATAATGTCCAGAAGTAGTGAGTTTCACAGTCTCACAAGTCAAAAAGGAGAGGGGAGGGGGGAGAAGTACTTCCATATAAATTTTCACATTTTCTTCCTTTACCTTCGTTTCTGGAATAACACTGAAAAGTCCAAATTATCCCTTTAAATAATTCCTTACTTTATATACTTTCATTTTTCATTACAATCTAGTTGATGAAGTCCTAAGATTTCTACTGTTTTTCTAAGATATTTTACATCTTAAAACCAAACCTGTGTAAAAAGATGCCCTCCACATCTTCTGGGTAATTTCCTTGAATGATTTAACTAAGCATCAAGATCTCAGAAAATTCTGTATCTTCTAGCCAAGCACAGATCAACTTAAACAAAATCGTTCCTTATTTGACTTTTTTGTTCTGAAATCTTTAGGAAACAGAATTTAATAAGGTCTATGGATAGGCAACTCCAGCGCTTAACTGCTGGAAATCTTGTCTCAATGTTAAGCCTAAGTTTCCCTCACTGCAATTTAAATCCATTGTGATTTGCCCTGTTTGTATGCAAACAATTCCTCCAAAAAAAGATTGCCTGACACATGCTTACCTTAAGTGCTTTGGCCGCTGAGTGGTATAAAATGACCTCTAGAAGTCGGGAGTAGTACAGAGCAATTTCTGCCCACACAGCCGCAGTGTACACAAGCGCAGTGTTGGCAGCAATGCAATGGAGGCAGAGTTAAATATGCACCACAACCTGACCTCCATCCAAATACAGCTCTGGGCCAGATCAGTTTTCCTAGATGATCTCCTGAGATCCACACCCTCTGGATGCTGTATTTGCAAGGGCCAAACCCAGGATCTTCAGTGTTCTTCAGTGGAAAGTCAGGCTCAATCATTAACCTGAGCCATGAAACGGATACAAAATTGATGTTGAGCCTGCCCTCCTTAGTGACCAAGTATATCCTCCCTGCCTGGATTGTTTTCAACATATACTGTGTATTTAATGAAAACAGCAGAATTGTTGGCCAAAATAATCTCAGTTTAAGGCAAAAATAATTCATTCAAGACGCTGTTCAAAAAGGCTCATATCTATTTTAAGCTTTCCTTCTCTCCAACTCCCCCTTGTTTTCTTAAATGAATGAATCAAAGTGTCAAAGAGAAGTTGTTTAGGATTAGGAAAAGATAGCATCTCCTTTCAAGAAACAGCATGATACTTAGAGAATTTAAAAAGAAAGCACTTTGTCTTTCTCAGAAAGTTTTGTTCAGAAATGAAAAGGAACGACAAAATAGTCACTAAACCAGTGGGAGATCTTTTGTTATCAAACATACTCAGACACAGCACTTGGCAGAAAATAAAATATGTCACAAGAAGGAAGCCTGCCAAGCTTCCATGTTGTAGCTCGGGCTACCTGCTTGTGCTAAACAGGAGTGACGCTTTGCTTTTGAGTACTTAAACCACCACGCAGCAGGACAAACAGACCACGAAGTAGTTGTCACCAGCCACAGCCACTGTGGTTTTGGAGTTTTTTGGTTACTCCATGTAGACTTTAGAGTCATCTTTATCTACTATGAAGTAGGTATTTCTCAAAGAATCTTCATAGCACTGTAAAAATCAAAGCAAGGGTTGATGGTTACCCAAATGCAACGGTGTTTTAAACTGTGCTGTACTATTATTTCTGTATGTACATATACTTATGAGTTATTGGTAAGTTTGTAAGAGAGATCGGCACAGATCAGAACAGGAAAAAATACGAGACTAGGCTGTCCTCCTGGGAAACTCTGACAGTCTCTAGAAGAAAGTAATTATAGTACACTATGATATTGTTAATTTTTCAACATGTTCCAAATAGAAGTGGGGAACTGTCAAACATCTGATGAGGCCTTTACAATTACAAAGCCCCTTAAATATTGATGTGAATCGAATGGGTCATTTTATTTTACCTTTTATTTCTTTGAGAGTACTCAAATACGGAAACAGGAGCAGGATATACTTTTATATGGGTAAAGCACCAGAGAGAGCAATATGAAGAATAAATTGAAACCCAAATCTCATACACAAATTATTATTAACATTAATTTCCACATATTACAAAGCAGCTTCTTTGCGTGTATGACATTGCCTTTTGCACCCAAACATGATTTTAATTAAGATCTAACTTATTCATGACTATAATTCAGATCTAACTGCTGGTCTAGTCAAATGAGTGTAATTATTCCCAGAGGGCACATCTAAGAGAACTAGGTTTTCCTTTTCATCTCTATATTTAGGCAAACACAATAGATGCTGGAAGATCAGTCTGAAAACCTGGGAATGTAAAGAGCTTTATAGAGCTTGTGGGGAAATTCTAAACAAAACAAAAAAAAATTGTTAAATAGGAATTTCATAAAGGCTCATTTAGTTTAATTTATTCTTGCAGACTACACAATAGGAGTGAGACAACGGAGATTATTAAACAACATAAAGCCTATAAATGCTTCAAAATTATTTCCTTGTTTATTAAGAAATAGAACCATACAAGTTGGCTTAGCTCATCCATACGTTACTTTAAAAGGGATAAATGAGATGGGTATTCATTTTTTGCTCTTGTCCTGCAGATACTACAAATAAACCAGCCTCCCATGTAAGCTGACACTATAATAACCAAGTCAGAAGTCCTACCAAATAATCTATATTTATCAAACATTTAATCATCCTGGTGTCCCAACCTATAGCATACTCTGTTCAGAAGGCAAAATAATGAAGACAAATACATCCATATGATCTGTTCTTTCTTCTAATATATCATAAAACCCCTACAGCTGCTTTGCTTTTTACCCAACTCCTTCTCCTCACCCACTTTGAAGCACCTTTTTCTCTTATCCACAGGGCACTAACTTCACCCTCCCCTGCAGAGCCACTCCTCTGTCGGTCCCTCTATCCTGAAGGGAAGCTAATGGAAACTGACTTTGCAGCTGGGATCACCTTGTTTACCAGCTTCCCTATTCTCAAAACAGATTCTAAGGCAGATTGCAAGGAATTGCTGCCCAGGTGCATCTTAAGTCTTCATGCACTCTGCCATGACGCTGTGCATTGTGATCCACAAGATCAGAAGACCACGTTTTCGTTGCTGTATCCTTAAACCGTCCTCTGCATTGGTCACCGGCTATGTCTGAACTGCAGGGTGAAGCATGAGATTTCCACACACTGAACCCTGGTGACTGGAGTTCTGATTTTCACAGCTGACTTTTAACCTACCTGTATCAGGAACTCAACATGGTGCTTGAGGTCTCCATGCTGTGCTTGAGAAATGCCAAACTCAAAAGTGCTTCTGGTGGAAAAGACCATCACATGCCCAACTCAATTCACCCTCTGGTCTGACCAGAGGACTGAGCCCTAAGGCACTGAATATTTTGCTGATCTTACCAGAGGTAAAGCAACTTCTTAGTGCAGGCACTACCACATGCAGTTGGCCAGCTTTGGTCTTCAGAGTGATTAGCCCTGGGCATTACTAAATAGGTAACAGTGACTATTTTTCTTTTTATATTCAATGCACAAGAAACTTGACATTTCCCAAGAATAAATCCACCAGTTTAGTTTCCAATGTTCAGTGACAGACAAGCACTGCTTTTTAGAAACACGCACATGTTCTTAACACTCATTTGAAGTAAATAGGGTTTGGTACATGCCTAATTTAAACCATATGGTAACTGCCTGCCTAAACTAAGACTTGTCTTAGTATCTGTAAGCACAACTTGTTTGAAATGATTCCCAAAGAGAAAAATAAAAAAATAAATAAAACAATTTCACAAGGAAAGAGGGAAGTAGAACTCACAGTGTCATGATGGCAGCTAATGCATGAGACCCATAAGGGTATACTCAACTGATGTGGTGCCTTTCTGGAAGGCACTATTAAATGGCTGTTATATGAACTTGGATCACTTCTGACAAAAGTTAGAGAGGTTCTTTTTAAACTGTTATTTCAGGATACATACATACATTAAAAAAAAAAAAAAAATGGCAAAAACTTTTTAGCCAGTATTTTGGAGTGAACTCAGTTAACCAGCTCATAAAAATAAGGGTTTGATTTTCAGCACACATTTCCACCTCTGTGTTTCCACCATTTTCGTCTCTGTATGCAAAAAGACAATCAAACTCTCAAGAGAGTAATCATTGCTTTAGCTGTTTGCCATTTGTCACAAGGTCTTTGTTAAGAATAAGTGTGACAGGTATTCAGTCAGTCATGAACATAAGACAGTTATTTTGATCTCAATCCCAACCAGAAAAGAGCACTCAAAGTTTAAGAGGAAGATGTAAGGCTTGCTTTATTTCCGGAGGCATTTCTGAATTTTCACATCCCACACAACCCTACCAAGAAAAGACAATTACACTTTAGGGGGGAGGTAACTGGATTGTACTTAGTAAATAGCTTTTGACTCAGTAAGGTTTTAAGGTGATGTACTGCTTCAAATGACAGAAATATGTTGGGTGTCTTTCTAAGAAATATACTGAACAAACCATATATGAAGTTCTTTGTTGTAATTGACTGTACACACTGCTAAAGAAAAGGTACATCTGAAATAAAACTAAGAGGCCAAGAGATCAAAAGTGCCATTTATATTGCCACCTGCAACTACTTTAAGATGAAGCTGTACTCCACACATTTATTGGGGTTGTGTGATGAACACAATGTTCAGCAGACGCTTGTGTACATAGTAATAGTGGTACACTGCTTGAACAGCTTGCACATGCTGCATATTGAAAGACAATGGAGAGTAAAAAAACTGAGAAGAAATAAAAACTTATTAGGTTATCTATTTCATCCCCTTGCCACTGTAAGATTTCACTCTACAATACTTTCGTATCATTTATTCCAGTCTAGTTTAAAAATGCCTGGGGTGAAGAAGCTTCCCCTGGGATATTATTCACAGCTTGACAGATCTCAGTAAGAGGAAGCATTTCCTAATACAAAACACTCATGTTTCCCTTTGAAATGTCATCGCATTACTCCTGGGCACCAACCCTAAATCAATATTCCTTTTCATTCTGCTATTTGTCACCTTCAGGTTTCAGCAACCCACTCCTCCTGGTCCCATGTAACAATCCCTTAATATCCAGCAGTTTTAATTCCAGCATAAATCGACTCTCCATTAGCCTTTTCCCCTAAATCATTCATAACCTTTAGCCAAGTGCAGGGCAAGAGGGGTTCTGCACTGCAGCACTGCCCTGCTTCTCAGGCACAGCCATCTCTGCTGCGACCAGGGTTCTGCACCTTGCCAATGCATTTTGCTTCTTTGCATGATGTGCAATGCAAGGGTATAAACACATATGTAAATACTTGACTGCAGGTTCATTTAAAAATGGATATATAGGCCACATGGAGACTCAGGCAGTTAAAGAACAGCAAAATTATGAACGAAATCCACTTTTTCTTCTGCTGCATTTTGCTTAAAGACTAGCAGGTGGCAGTGCATCCTTAGGAATGAGCTATGAAAAAGTAGCCACTGCAATTGCTCTTTATCATTTCTTGTATTGGTGTTGGTCTCCTTTTCTTTTTCCTCTTTTACTTAACTTTTCTTCCTTTTCATATTTTTATTTTTCTTCCTAAGCTCAAGCATTTTTTCATGTTTCTTCATTCATTTATGGAAAACAATTAAATAAAAAAAAAAAGCATTTCACATCCTGATTCTGTGTGTTCAGGTATAACAACATTTTTGGTTTATTTCAAAAGATGCTCTCTCCTCACAGGCATTTGAAAAAGTTAACCTGCAAGGTCAGTAAGAAAAACACTGAAATGAATCAATCTATTTTGGACAAAACCTGAAAGGAGAAGGAAATCTGAACAATCTCACTGATGCAAAGGATATCAGCCAGTTAGCTCAGTCTGCCGTGGAAATATGCATTGCTG